AGAGCAGCGGCAAGAGAGTCCTGATGCGTAAGGTACGCATATAGGTTGTTATATATCGCTATCGTCGTTCTCATGTTCAATCTACAACGCGGGATGAGTCCCAAAAACGAATGTCCAGAAAGAAAAGACATACGCTTCCTTGATAAAAGCTAACCAATCTCCTGAATACACAATCCCCAACATGGCCTACGCATTCATCAGCTTCAATCTCACTCAAAAAGCAGAATATATGCGCTGACCTTCTCATACAAACTCTCCGCATAAACCAACTCGGCATGCCTCTCCACATCCGTCATACTCGCTATAAACCCAACGACGCTGGACGGGTGAAGCGTAGACACCACATATCCCGCTAACCGGGACCCGAGGAACGCTTGTTTCTTACGGTGGAGAGAGGCGATGTGGTTGCCTCGTTTGGTGTGGGCGATCGCGGTGAGGAGGTCCTGGAGGTAGGTCGTTAACAAAGTGATAGTTGGTAGATGAGGAAAACGCACCTCATCCTCATACGACATCAACCCCTTCACACACTGAATAAGCCCATACCCCGTCGCGAAATACAACCGTTCCCTGCCCGGCCCAATCCACGTCAACACCCTGCCACCCCACACTCCAACGAAAAAAAAACGCACTTAGTCTCATCACTCTTATGGCAATACTCCTCCGCCTCAACCATCTTACTCCCCAAAAACAGCTCAAGCGCATAACTTACCCCCTTAATATCATCCAACGCGTCCGATTTCTTATAAGGCTTCTTCACACGTGGTGGGGATGTATATTTCGGCTTTAACCCGAGGTCGGTGGGTGTGTCGAGGGCTGGTGTTGTTGGTGTCGTGCTCACGGTGCTTGATGGGGACGTGAGGGATGGGGAGTTGAGGAAGGAGTTGTTGTCGGTGGAGACGGATTGGGGAGATGTTGGGTTCGAAGCGTCGTCTCCGTAGCCGAAGAGCGATAACATCGTTGTAGATGTGCTTGACGTTAGTGCGCCATGTAGTGTTGTCAGGGGCTTAGAGTTGTGCCATTGTGTGGTCCATGCGTGGGAATTACCATCAGATGGTTCGGCTCCGATGCGATCGCAAAGTTCGACACGAATCGCCAGA